TTTTTTTGAATACAAGCTTTCCTTTCCAGCTGTAATATCTTATCTATGAAAGCCCTTATGAATCGACTTGTGGCATTTTGTTATCCGGCAAAAATCATAGTACGTTTATCATTATTTTGCATGACTTATGACTTTTGATGTACTATTATTAGAAAATTATTTCGTTTCAATTTCTTCCCCAATTTTTGAGGAGGAGTGATTTTCATAAAATTTCGATTTGAAGAGTTCGAGTGAAGACGTGTTGCCGGTGTTGACAGAAGTTCATACAGAATCAAAAGTTGAATTTGAGAAACCGGAACAGCTTTTCGCATGTTGGTTATATGCCACGTGGTTGCTTGAAGTAGATGTTGATGGGCGCTTTCCAGAAAATGTTGCAAAACCAACTGTCAGCAATCCGTAAGCACTCATGTTGTTTTCAGATGGTACTTGAATAACTAATATAGCTGCGTTGTCATAAATATTTCATATTTCCGACATTCGTAATCGAGTATTTTTCACGGTTGTATCATATCAGCGCAATTTTCCCTTCTTTTGTTCTTCTCTATCCCAATAATAAAATGAAATTGGAAGTTTTGGCTGGAGATGCAGATATTTATCAAATTTTAGCTATCTCAGTCATCTAAAGAAATTTTTTAAACTGAATAATCTTTTTTCTTTAGACTGAACCAATTTGATGCAAATCTCATGCAGGCGGAGCAGTTCAAAAATTGTATTGCTGAGGTATTTATTTGCCAATGTAGAAAATAGCGCATAAGCTAGTTAATTGCATGATAAATGCATATGTATTCAGTTTTGTTCTTATTACCATTACTGGTAATAACTTTAGTAAAACTTCTTGAAAAATCCAAGGTTGATTTGTTTTACAGTTACGAAGAAGCGTTGAAGTTGCTGAAAAGTTATTGAAAACACTGTTAGAAAGTAGTCGTAAAGTCCATATGATTGTGCCCGCAAAAGATTGCTTCTTGGAAGCTTTATCAAAGGTTTAAGATTTTTTCTAACAGAATTTCTTTCTAAACGAAATAGGAAAGTAATTCAAAGTTATTTCTATAAGCACAAGTTAAAACAAGTTCATATTGTAATATTGCCTTAATTCTAATATTGCGAAAGTAATATCGAAATAATCACTGTTAGCCGAATGGTTCATCTTTTATGGTTCATGTTCATGCTTTTCATGCTTCAGGAACCAAATTTAATTACTGATAGTGTTTTAAACTTGGGAAACATATGCACCAATTCGGTTCCAGTCCTTAATTTCGAAACATCAAATGTACGATTGGATCACAATTTCTGGACGTTGACGGTAATGAATATTTACCAATTTATGTATGTATTTTTCTTCTCTTTGTAGTCAGAATAATGCAATCGCCTTTGCGTTTATATATTTTCAGGTCCGGTATTCATTGATGTGCAATCATTTTGCTGCTGGTAAAGTCCAAGAAACAAGGAGTGATTTAGAAGAGGTATCATTTTAACATGATTTTAATTACATGTGACGATAACGAACTGAAAGCAAACGTAAGAAGTATAAGGAAATGCACGAAGCTCATGTGTAGTAATATAATAGCACAAAACGATGTCACAATTTATGTATGCATAATTACAGATTGTGAAAAATTGGCCCAAACGTAAGAAAGGATTAATGGACAATGTTGTACTTGGTATAAACGAAAGTGATTTGACCGGTTACTGTAATGCCGTAGGCATCACGCATTCGTATTGTTTTTCCACTCCACTTTCCCATAATGAATTAATGTTTGCAGCAGTCACTGAAAAGGTTTATATTTTTCTATTTGAGATAAATTCAAATTTGGATTTCTTATATAATTGAAACCAACTGGATTTCGTTTGAAATATTTGGCTTAGGTATTAATGTGGACTTTAAAAAAGTTATTTTCATTTAGACGTTAGATACTTTGGATAATTATTCATTGGTACATCGGTCGGAATGCCAGAGGATTGCTTGTACATCAGAGTCTGCCCTCGTAGATGATATTTTGGCCGAAAATACTGTTTTGGAATATTGCAACGACTTGCCGGCTACTTTAAACACATTAACGAAACTGGCAGCAAAAAAACCAGCTGTTTCTCGTTTGATTACGGTATCTTTTTTCTGCAGATTTAAAATCTATGGTCGAAATGTAAATTTACCTGCATTTGAACTATTTCGTGTGTATGAATTTCAACGATTTCTACTGGAAAAGAAGTGGGTTTATTTCAAAATTTTGCCACTATTATATTCTAACTTTTCCATTGTTTAGAATTAGTATTTACCGTTAAATTCCATAGGTTTGTTTGCGTTTGGTGAAGAAAGGAGCAAAAGCACAAGTAATGAAGGAAGTGATACAGTTTCTATCCACCAAAATACCGAATTTCGCTGAAGAATTAAAAAATGTGAGTGCAATTAAAATCCTACGTGTTATTTGCGAAATGTGCTAAACAATTTTTTCTTTCTGATGCACCGAACAGTTTTTATTTGTTTGGCTCTTAATTAATCGGTGATTCGTTAAGGCAAATCCCGACTGTGGTAAAGAATATCTCCGAAATTTTAGAGACATTTCGCGACGGCCAATAAATCCTTTGCCAAATGCTGCTGCTATTAAAGGTGAGTAGTTTTCTTGACTATTCTGAATATTTTTTTCTGCTCAGACTAGTGGAAGCAGTTCTTTGATATGAATACAGATTTGCTTCTTCACAATGAAGGAACATTTTTGTCGGATTTTCCAGTTTCGAAATAAAATTTATAAATAGACTGATTATTTTTAGAGCTTTTAAATGGTGGCATGGATATTTGGCGCCTAATTATTTCATTTGATATGAACGAAATTAAATCCTTATTTGCTAAGATGACTGGAAAAATAAGTGTTCCACGTCGTGTAAGTGTTCATTTACATTTGTAGTTTTTTTTTTCTTTTTTTCCATCACTACGTACAAAAAGAAAGTTTCGAGTAGCGTGAAAATATTTCCATTTTAGTTTCGAATTAGCAGAATGATTGGTGATGTTATGTCAGCTGCCGCTTCGCAAGGGAATTTTGAACACATCAACTTGATGTTAGGTAAATTGGAACAGCTAGCAGTCATTGGGGTATGTTGCAATTTTCCACTTTTTGCAAGGTAAATCTAAAATTTCAGTGGAATTGATTGATAGATAAACTTATGAACTTGACTGTCTTCAAAGACATTTTAAGGATGGAACTCAGTGGCGTACATTTTGCAATGACTGTGTGAAAGAAATGGGTCCACTAGGAAAAATTCAGGAAATACAAGTTCGATTTGCTTTTGATGCTGTTCGAGTTCAGGTGCGTTTTGTTATTCTTTTTTCCCAAGAGATGTTAGATGATTTTTTTTTAAATATTCTTTTTCGCAAGAGATGTTAGGTGTTTTTTTTTTTTTTTAAATCGACCTGTTATTTGAGATAAAGTAAATAGAAGCACAAGTGGGAGTTTTGAAATTTCGGAATTATCGAGGAATGAATTTTGAATTAAGTTGGAAGTCTGGTACTAAAATCAGTTATGCTTAATTAATTATGCATATGCTTAATGTGGTCGTTGGTTATAGGTAAGGAGATATGTGTGTTGACTTTATGATTTAAATATTTATTTCTTTATGGTTAAATATCGTATACACATAATTTAAATGTCATATACATACTTGTGACACTCACTACAGCTTATCATGCAGCTCATGAAGTAAGCCTAATTACTGATTCTGCAATTTAGCTGGAATGTTGGCATGCACGATTCTCGAGAGTATCGAACAATGCTCAGTTCGTCCACGTTACCCAGGCATTGAACTCGACGGTGAAAGCATTGATACAATCATCCATGACAAGTCCCGTAACAATGGGAAAAATGATGCTCCATACAGTCACATTCTTCATCAATACTAGCGAATGGGATTTTCTGTTGCGCTCTTTTGTAAAGTAAGTTCATCTAATTATTCGATTTTGTTAATGTATTCGTTTTTAATAATTTCGATTAGGATTATAAATTCAAATATTCTACAATTAGGCGACAAGCATTTGCAGATTTTTCTCTTACATTCAATTTTTCTTGCAAATTTCTGAAAAATCCGGGATTTTTTTTCTTACCTTCACAGTTTATCTGCTTCTTCTTCATTGCAGATTGAAAAGTCCGTTTTTGGATGCAGCCAAAATGATTGCTGCTTATATGACAAGCACCGATCCGACAGTTGCTCGGCAAATTGTTGAAGGTCCATGGTGGCATGTTATGAATTCAACCTTCCAAGAGCTTCCGTTGAACAGGCATGTGATTTCACGAAGTAAAATCTGTTTATACTTCTTCAGGAATAACTCATTTTCTGAATTCACTCCTGCTTTTGCCACAAGGCAAAATTTTTATTCTTTTTTTCATACAAAATCTTGTGCTGCAGTAAACGACGAAACGATGGATCGCTGGTTCGTGAGCAAACGAAGCAACTGCTGACAAGAACACAATTCCTAGATATGTTGCGACTTATCAAAGTATGCATATGGATTGATGAACATCAGTTTGGCCTAAAATTGGATTTAAATAAATAGAATAGAAACAAAAGAAAATATCTCAGGTGCTTTGCTATTTTACCTTTTTTCTCCAATTACAGCAAATATCATTGCAGGAATATCGAACTATATCTTTCCTAATTAGCTTTCTTGGTAAAATGTTTGGCGCATCTGGAAATGTATCGAAAATGAGGAATGAATGTGATGGATTATCATCAGGACAGGACATTAATAAAAATATATTCGTTGAGCATCCCGACTATTGGCAGTCTAGCTTCGAGTAAGTTAATACCTATTAATATAGAAAGGCAAGTCACAACTTGTACTTTAGTCTAAATTTCTGAGGATGATTTCTTAACTTGTAATAGCATGGAACTGGTTATTTTGACATGTTCAATAAATCTGATTCCAACTGGCTAGCACGCCATCAGGATCGTCATCGCTCAGTGCAGTTCTCAGAAAGCCGTGTTGGCTGTCTTGGAACCCCTGGGACAAAATATCCAACAGTTAGTTGATTATTCTCAAATATTGCCAGTCCCAGGTGAGTCAAGATCGAAGTACATGGATAATGAACTAAGGTTGTTAGGAGAACAAACAGAATTTAAAGTTTTTGAGTCTTTCTACTACTTTTTTTTTACATTTTCTTTACGTTTTTACATTTTTATAGTCACTTTTTTTTATAGTTTTACATTTTTATAGTCACAGTATCGTTCAGGACACGTTCTAAAACTTCCGATTTATTTATTCCTTTCAATAATTTTGGCTGTTAATCTCTTCTGGTTTCTTCAGAAAGAAAGGATCTGATGATGAATTATGTTTCAATCTGCCTTTTTTAACTGAATGTCTCGATATGGTATTCAAAAATGCGCTAATTGTCAATCCGATAAATGCATTCTGGTTACGATCCTATGCTGATTTTTGCTACGGTAAGTAAGGTTATTGGATTTTTTTACTGATGTGATTTCATGTTAATTATTCGTTTGCAATTTCTTTGGATTAATAATTTCAGCTTGTGATAAATTTTCCGATGCTTTGGTTCTTTACATGGAAGCATGTGTGGCTTGCAGTGATTCTTTGATGAGACCTCTTCCTGATAATGTTGTTGATGATGTGGCAAGTTATTTAACTTCTACTGATTTATTGTCGAAGGGATTGAATAAAGTGTGATTAGTTTATTAGTAGGATAAATAGAGCAGTTATATCGGTATTAGGAGCATTATCTAGGCATTATCATATTGATTTTGTTACAATACAGACGATGAGACTCATCAGTTATATTGAAAATGGAGGGAAAATATGGCAGCAGTTGATGTGAAAGGTAAAAGTGGTGGGAGGTGAAATAGTGTTAAATCAGTTATGTTAAATCTCAACTTCACTGCTGCAAAGTCTTTTTTTTTTGTGATGTGTAATTTTTAAAAATTTGCCTTAGATGTGGCTCAAAGTTCAACGATGTTTGCGTATGGGTGGTGCTGAAACTTTAAGTGTCTTGATTTGTCAGCTCATGCGTAATCCTACTGAACGTTACGTTCCAACAGCATCTTCTCTGCTGGAGACTCATGGTGATACACTTGATGCTTGTACGGCCTATTTCCCACTTATTAGTGATATCAATTTGGCTGAATTCATGAGTGGTTAGTATTTTCTGTTATTATAATATTATAACTATAATTTTTATTATAACTATAATTTTTTCTTTTTGAAATGAGTGGTTAACTATATCATTTAAAGGGTAAAATTAACTGTTGTTAAGTAGTTTTGAAGTTTTCACTTATGATTTTATTGTAAACGAAAAAACATCTCAAAACTTCACGGAATTTAGTTAAAGACATCGTCACTCGCTTAGGAGAGATTTGACTGGAGTGGAACACGTTGTTCGATCCATTAAAAATAATAAGTGTAGCTATATACTCTTAGAGCTACATACAGTGAAAATTTACATGTGAAATTAATCAGAACTTTTACTAATATAATATTTTACTAATATAATAGCTAAAGTCTTTTTGCTCACATGCATCGATGATTGGTTGATGTGATGTACGCAAACTGAAAGTAACAGGTTTAGGTGAAGATAGAGATTGGGTTGCTGCTAGTTGATAATACTAGACAGCGGAATGAAATTGGTTTTAGTGAGTTTATCGAATCTAATAACTAAAAAACACTAATTCATCCGTACATCACTTTTTTACAATATTTTCAGATGTGTACGAAAAGCTTCACCTTCACAAAAAAGAGCAGCTATTGGTATGATACTTCAGTTCTGCCATGTAGTTATCATTTGAGATATTAGATAAAATTTGTTTCAAAGTACGAATTTTGTTACCAATGCTTGGAATTGGAGAATTTTGGGGGATAGTTTGTTTATTGTGGCAGGAAGTTGATGATACTTCCTTTTTTGCAATAATCAGTTCTGTATTTTTTCAGTTGCGAGCAATTTCGGTACCAGAGATAAATTCTCACAATGTGAGCCAACTTGAAAGGTTTCGGAGACGTGAACGATTTTTACTTGTTCTTTGTGCACATGTATTCAGGATACATTTTTGATTTTGATTTTGTGTTTGGTGTTCCTTGGTATAAATGGGCTTTAGTAGATGAAGCAATATTTCCCTCTAGAAAAAGAGTTGGAAGTAGACAAGGAGATATTTCGAAGACTTGATTTAGTTCTTCGAATTAATATGGATATTAGTTGGGCATAGGATATATTTAAAAATAAAGTATCACTTCTAAGGTATTTCCATTCTATTCTTGTAGTGTATTTTAGAAATTGTGCCCTTCATTCTATGAAGAAGCAGAAGCTTAGGACAAAACAATTCAAAAAAATGAATGCTTATTTTGAAAGATTTAAGATATTTTCGTATAGATTAAATCTCAAACAGAAAACAAAGTTGCTTAGCAAATTCATTATGTTTTAACATTTATTATGTTTTAGCATATCGTTTTGAAGTGCTTTATTTATTTGATTTAAGCTATCGTTTGTTGTAAGTATTTCGTATTATGTTCAAAGAATAATATGTACTTTGTGGTATAGAAAGTAAATAAGCCTGGTCAGCTTCTTTTTTATATCTTTTCTCAATAGTGAGTTGAGTTTCCAAAAAAAAAACGGATAATCATAAGAGTCACTGTTTGATCACAATATGCTAACTGCAGTGGCCAAATATTGCCGAATCAGAGAACATTAGATCAGTCGCCTTTAGTATGTATCAATCAACGGAAAGCTAACAACCTAAACGTTGTTTTCACATCAGTATGTAGAATAAAAGTGGAATGTTTCAACTTCTGTCCAACAAATTGACGTATGGGTTTCATTCTTTTTCCCAATGTCAGGTATGTTATCACCATTATTGGAACGCTCAATGTAATGATGGATGGAAGAAGTCGTAGCAGAACTGGGATAATATGTAAATTATGCGAGCATTTAACATATCAGTTTTCTAATGCCTTGTAAAGGAATGTTTGCTGAATTAAAGTAGGATGGTTTTTGTGACCTTTAACCTCCCTTGGTGAGATGTTCATCTGCAACCATTATTCAATGAAATGGTAAATTAGCATGTGAATGCAATTTGTTGATTGACAAGATTAACTGGAAAATAAGAACCATCTATTGTAAATTGTGAGAATTTATTCACTGCTAAATGAGCGGTTTCGTTTAGTTCAATTATGCAATTTTTTTTCTTTTTTAAATTGCTAAACAAAAGTCAATGTTTTGTTTTGTAATCTTTTCAAAATTTATCCAAAAATTTTTGAATTTAAGTGTCATGAATATATATATATATATATATATATATATA